CCTTTGAAATGGCAACACATGAAGGATATCACAGTCGTTACATGATGACGTGATGTCTCTGATGCTCTTCATGTATATCATGAGTATCGTCTGCCACTTAACATCAGATTGATCATTAGTTTTTGTTTAAAAAATGGTCAATATATTATTAGATTTTTTTTATTAAATTACACCCTTATTTTCCATAGACAGAAGGTGAACTTCCATGCTCTTTTTTGCGTTTTATATTTTATGTTATTTTTTTTCTCTCTCTTACTCCACGAAGATATGCATTGTCGCTTCCTGCAGGTTACCTAATAAATGTTTTTTTTATTTATTTTTTTATAAATGTGTTGCAGTGTTCATTATTATTTTTAAAGCCGATTGTACCAGCAGCAAGTAGTCCTTATAGTCATTGGGCATAAGGGGTATTATAGTTGTGATATATAAGTCGAGGACTGGTCGACCGGCGTGTATAACTATAGCAGTCCTGCGAGACTGCGATTTGTTGCACTTGTGTTTTATAAATGTATAGAATATTACATTGTGTTTTATTCATCGATCCCATAATGACCTATTCACGCCGCGGAAGGGGATGGTTAGTGTAGAGAGTGGTTGCCTCTAGAGACAAGGGCGTAACCCGCTCCACCTGGGGGATAGAATCCCCCACTGGGCCCAGTGTTGCCTTGAGGGAGGAGCCCCAACTAAATGGCCCCGAGACGTGCACGTGTATCTACATGGTTCCAATATTGTAACGTGAAATAGGTCGCCCTAACAACGAAATGGGCTTGCCCTACACTACCTACAGAGCGGGTTAACCCCGCCGGAGCCGCGGTAGTTATGTTAACACGACCTCATGACTGGACAATATTATATAATATCGTAGAAAAAATCACATATTTTAAAAAGATATTAAAAGAAGGTAGTTTGTGTTTACCCAATGTAAAGATTATTACGAATATTGTAAATAGCGCCATCTAGTATTTATAGACCAAACTTAGCAGGTTGGTCTATAAATAACTGACTTCGGTCTATAAAGACGGAGGTCGGTAGTTGAATAATCCTCTTTCGTTGGGTGAGCCGCGGCATTCAGTCGACGAGCGCAGAGCGCGCCGGTTGTGTTTTGGATACTAAAGTGAATTGTATTAGAAATGGGTTTATCCCGTTATTATTTGGGCCTGGGGGGAAGCTGCAAGTAGTGAAGGCGAGTGGTAATGCATTCTAAAGGGGCCTCTTAAACCTACACCCGTGTCACAAGTCACTGGCACTACTTAGGGTTTCCATTGCGGTAGCCGGCTTCAAAGCCTACGTCGTTATCATAATTAGTGCTTCTTACACATGTGAGTTAATTATCTATGATCTATCTCTCTATTAATTTGCACTTGGGTTTTCCTGATAGAAATAATGGATGGGTGTACATCACTGAAGATTCTCCTGATAAAAAGAATGGAGTCGAAAAATATTTTTTTTATATGTAATTAGTATAGGCTAATTCATCTTTCGTATATCGCTCTATTATTTTGCACTTGGGTTTTTTTTTACAATAATAGTACTGATAACGTGCTACGTGTTCCATCAATGAAGTGCCAATCCGTTTATCAATTCATATAGAATCGACGGTCGAGATAAGTACTTAGCTAAGTACTCGTCGCTCCAAAGGTATGTGTTAGAATGACTAATTAAGTGGACATTAGTAAAATGTATTAGATATTTCTAATACAGCTATCATATAGTATTTTATATCTGTTTACTATTTATTATATATACAAACCCACAGATAAAATTAACTTGTATGAAATCTAATAATAATAATAATCTCAGGACAATTCACACAGCGCCATCTAGACCCAAGTTAAGCTACCTAAAGCTTGTGTTATGGCCATTACAAATCTGATATAAATACTTAGATACATTTTTTGTAAACATACCTACTAATATACATGGAAAATAGATATGATTGATACGAGGCCCCTCTTCCCCACTGGGCATGTGCCCGCGGCCCCGCGATGGATTGGGGCCCCATAGTCTTTCTATTCCATTACCAAACGATAACCGATAGCTACTCTACTCTCGCCTGAAAATCAGTCATAACAAATGTTTATTTTTGCCTGGTTTGTTTTGAAGGTAGGACATCCCCATATACATCTCTAAAGATTCTTGTTCAAAAATTTTTTTTAAAGACTATTCTGCTAATTTTATATTTTATTTATATGTAATCCATATTTAGATATTTTGTATGTGTATATTAGTATATTTATATATTTGCATATGTATATCTTAAATAAATGAGGATGTAAAGGGAGGGGACGCCCTAAGAAAAGATGGATGGATTGTGTGAAAGATGATATGAATAAAAGAAGAGTATGCTCAGATATGACGGCAGGTAGAGAGCAGTGGAAGAGAATGACATACTGCGCCGACCACAAATAATGGGATAAAGGCAAGGCAATGATGATGATGTATATCTTATATATAAAATTCTCGTGTCACAGTTTTCGTTCCCATACTCCTCCGAAACGGCTTGACCGATTCTCATGAAATTTTGTGAGCGTATTGAGTAGGTCTGAGAATCAGCCAACATCTATTTTTCATCCCCCTAAATGTTAGGGGTAGTCCATCCCTAAATTTTATTTTTTATTTTAAGGCAAAACAACGTTTGTTGGGACAGCTAGTATATATATATTATTTTTCTGTATCTATTTGTTATAATTTATGTTTTTTTTCTTGTAATTAATTATTAAAGTGCACCGCGTTATTATATCTGATCAACGCGACTGTTGACTGGTAGAGAATGCATCAGGAAGTACGTCATGTTTACATTTTTGTGTGCAAAAGAATAAATAAATATTCTAACAAAATAGTGCTTTATTGCTATGGTCATACCCCATTATCGTAATGCGCCCAGGGTCTCTAATAAGTGAAAGACGACTCTGACCGATACAAATGTCGTATTTATGAATACAAATGCTTGTATCGTATGAAACCGAAAGCTGCCACCATCAGAAGTAAAGCAATGTGCTAAACCGCTAGACTACCGAGATCAAGTATGTGATGTAAAAATTGTACTGTGTTAAACTTGAAAATTTCTTTTTATTTTGTTTTATCTGTTTAGTTTATTTAATTTTTACGTAGGCAACAATTGTGTTTATATGAAATCAAACTAAAATATCTTAATAAGTCTGATATGTCAAACTCACTGATCTGTAATATAATAGTTAATAATATTTGGCAATTCTTTTATGGATTCCCGCGATACACGTTCTCCTAGTGCGGGGTCCAATGTGTAATAAATAAATAAATAAATGCTTCCGTAACCTATAATTACAAGAAACAAGAATTTGCGCAAAAGCAACTAAAATACTATAGGTAGGATACCTGTATAAGGGCGTACTATCACTAACTGAAATTATCTAATCAAACTCAAGTGATAATAGAGAATAAATTATTTTTACAAAATTCTATTCTATATATCAGAAATTTATACAAACTAATTAAAAAATGATCACCACAGTAATATATATTTCTTTTCTCTGATTCATGCGGGAGTATTATATATATAAAACTAAAAACAAGACGGAAATGGCGAATACAGACTTTTTTTTTTTGGACTACTCTAATGCTGTTGGCCGCAGCTGGCCTTTACAGTTTCACCGGACGATAGGGGGCGAGTAAAGATGGGCTCCAAACCAAGGAAGGACTTATGGAGCGGCTGAAGGCTGACCTTCAGGTGCTGGCACCTACTTGACGGATACGACTTTAGTCTGAGGGACCACTAGGGGTTCGAACCTCGGCTCAGGCCGTCGTAATATCGATCCCCATTGAATTGGACGGGGGATCGATCTCACACCAAGCCCGCAAACTTATAGAGTGTTCAAAATCTACCCTGTATCATCGTAAGCACAGATATTATATTATATTAGAGTCCGTTAGTTTTCTGTTCCCGCGCGTTCCCTTCCCCTCCCTAACTAGTACTGAACTGAACGTACAGCGGCCTTGACGCGCGCGCGCATTGTGTTGTGAATTAAAATAAATTAGAACTGTGAAACCTACTGTGAAACTGGAAAGCTAGCGAAGATATCTCCGAGACCCTGAACCCCAAGAAGCCCGCAGAACCATAAAGGTACGTGACTGACGCTTCCCTAACATTTTGGTAGCAGAGTAGTTTCCCAAACATAGAGCTATTGAAAGCCAACGTCTGACGGTGCGACTTTATTGAAGACTGTACGAGGGGTAACGAACATTGCGCAAAAGGAGCAGTATGAATTTTTTGTCACATATTTTATATTAGCTGTACCAGCGACTTCGTTTTGTAATATTGAAATAACCGTTTTTTACTACATGCATATAAATACGGTACATACACGAAAATGACATTTTTTACAATTTTTGACTGTCTGTCTGTCTGTTTGTTTCGGCTAATCTCTGAAATGGCTGGACCGATTATAACGTGACTTTTTTTGGCAGGTAGCTGATGTAATAAGGAGTAACTTAGGCTACTTTTATTTTAGAAATATAAAGTCAAATTCCACGAGGACGAAGTCGCGGGAACAGCTAATATAAAATATGAGAAAAAAATATTTCATACTGCTCCGTTTGCGCAATGTTCGTTACCCCTCGTACAGACTTTTTGCTTATGCTTCAGGTGTCCATAGCCATGGGTTTTTATTCTTTTTTTTTTACTTTATAGTAATATCTGCCGCTTATTTTGTGGCGACATCCTTTTGGCGTTTTTTTTTTATCCTGTAGATGTGTTCCATTGTTTTTTTTTTATTGATTGCTGCCATCGTAGTATAAAATTAATTAACCAATGTGCCTAATAGACAGAGGGCTCGCCTCGGGTTTGAACTTCGGCTTATAGGTAAAAGCTATTGTTGTGTGTTTGTCATTGGGCTCAGTTAAAATAGGTACAGGCTATTGCTGTGTGACAAACAAGACGTGGCTATGATGTCACGGGAAATACGAAACAAATCCATTACCAGTTAATCAGGTAGATTAGTTATAAAAAAATCCATCATATTTATCGCACGGTCGTAATCTAGATTAATTATATTATCTAAATAATTACAGTGATTTCAACTGTGAATTTGCTCGCTACTGTTTACGTCGTAGCTAATATCTATATGACAATTGCTGGGAGATAACGATGTCTCGTCAAGGTGCTGATTTTGAACAGTGAAGTTCATGATGTACTGGAAAACGGGTCTACTCGTAGCACTGGCTATATGTCAGGTAACTTAAGTTTATAATATTTATAACAACTGCCAAAACTATGTTTGTTTATAAACTAAAGTATGGTGAAATAATTTAAAAATCTTAATAAAAAAGTACTTACAAAGTTATTTCTTCCAGTCAACCGTTGATTGAATTGTGGAGTGGTTTAAATATATGGTTATTAAATGAATATAAGAAGTACCTAAGTACTTAATACATTACCTGTGGATTATTTGTGTTGTCTGTACATACATTTCGCAGTCAGGATTAAAAATACGTGTCATAAAATCTATTTTTTATTATATCATGTGTTTGTAAAAAAATTGGAATAAGTGACAGATAGATGATTATGATGAATAACTATTGCTTTTATTTATTTTTTTTGCTTTTGTGAGAAATGTTTACCTTTGTACGTAAATATTTATTTGGGGGACCAAATAAATATTTATGCGAGGCCCCGCTAAAGCACGCTACGCTTCTGGATTTAATATTCATATACTTTTGAATAAAAACTATTTAATCCTTACAATAGTTGAAAATAATTTTATTGTAAGTATTAAAAAAAATATTTAAACTAACACCATTTTGAGGTTTGATCTAGTTTGGGGACTACTGATAATAGAAATAAAATTTTAATTGTAGTAAATAAATGTAAATCTATAAATAAAATATTTTTTTAATATTTTCCTCATTAAAGGGTAGCCTATAAAAAATGTATAAATATATTTTGTTTTCAGGTGCAAGCTGAAGAATTAATAACCCCGACGTACGTTGAAAATGTTGACCAATGTAAGTACATTCAATGGTGATATCACAGCAAACCACATAAATAGAATTGTGAATCAGAATTACATTGTAAAATCAACTACCTATATATCTGCTAGGTATTCTAATTTGCCACCACAATAGTAAAATAAAAACTACTTTCTACCTTTCTACTTTCTTACTTCAACCTTTTCTTTTTTGAGTTAAATTTTCTTAAGCAACGTGACACGCGTGATGCTCAGGTGTCCATAGACAACCATTTGCTAATTGCCACCACAATAGTAAAATAAAAAGTTTTCCAAAATTGTGATGGTTTCTTATGGAAAGGGACACGCGTGGATATCTGGCGTTCACAGACCACCGTTTGCTAATTTGCCACCACAATATTAAAATAAAAACTACTTTCTTACTTCAACCTTTTCTTTTTTGAGTTAAGTTTTCTTAAGGGACGTGACACGCGTGATACTCAGGTGTCCACAGACAACCATTTGCTAATTGCCACCACAATAGTTTTTTTTGTCCGAGTACATTTGCGATAAGTATCGGGACTATAAGCGAATATGTTCTGTGATGCTGTCATGTAGAGCGGCTTTCCATTGGAAACCTTACTCATCTGCATCCCAGAGCTACTGCCGATCTTCTAGCTCCAGGATATGATGGCGTTTTAGTCGTCTCTCATGCTGTTCTATAGTGAGTTGTCGAGCAAGTTTGTTGGGGTGATGAATCAACCGTTCCTTATATTTGACTGCCAAACTCCGAATTTTCTCCTTCACTGTTCTTATTTCAAGGTAGTCTTCAGTGTTGGTTATGTACCCTGGTATTTATGCAATGGTTCTTAAGATCTACAATAGTAAAGTAAAAAAATTTTCCAAAAGAGTGATGGTTTCTTATGGAAAGGGAAACGCGTGGATATCTGGCGTCCATAGACCACCGTTTGCTAATTTGCCACCACAATATTAAAATAAAAACTACTTTCTACCTTTCGTACTTTCTTACTTCAACCTTTTCGTTTTTGAGTCAAGTTTTCTTAAGGGACGTGACACGCGTGATGCTCAGGTGTCCATAGACAACCATTTGCTAATTGCCACCACAATAGTAAAATAAAAAGTTTTCCAAAAGAGTGATGGTTTCTTATGGAAAGGGACACGCGTGGATATCTGGCGTACATAGACCACCGTTTGCTAATTTGCTAAATATTAAAATAAACCTAATTTCTCCCTTTATACTTTCCGACTTCTATCTTTTGTTTTTACGTTATGTTATCGGCAAACCAACTAACGGCCCAAGCGTAACCCTTGCCTATATATTATATTACATGAAGTTGGAACTAAATGGCGTTGTGTGGATTTCCTCCACGGACAGGTTTTGTCATCATGTAGTCTGTGGTACCACATTTACACTGCAATTTCGGATGACTAATGCAATATATTCGTATCTCGTAATTTTACTGCTGCATCTGATCTTCATATCGAAATATATACTAGAGACAAGACAACAAAAGAAATAGATACGACTGGTTTACGGCTGTTAATATCGTAGATAAAAAAACTTTTTTTATTGGATTGTTTGGGCTATTGTCAGATGTTTGTAGCACCTGTAGCACTGCGACCTACATAGATATATTGTGCTCGCCCTTTTTCAGAGTTCACTGCCTAGACCCGTCGGGGACAAGAATTGAAGTATATTCTTAGGAGCGATGGTTTTTATCTCCACTGGAAAGAGTGTAAACTTTCCAAAGGAGATATTTCGTTTATGCATGAGTGGGCTACACAACCACATAGGATGTGAAGCGGCGTTTCCTCTTCAGTTTGGCAGAATCTGCAGATTCTTGTCGTGCATAGGTCTAGTTTAGTCATATGCTTGTTTAATTTGCAGTGTCCTGTGAGGGCCCTAGTCATCATGCATATGTTGTTTTTACTCAATAGCAGTAGTCTATTGCGAGTATTTTTTCAAAAAACTATCCTCGGTCCCGTTGGTGTTTCATGCATTATATTATTTAGCTTACCATCAGGCGAGCCGCAAGCTCGTTTGTCTCCTATGATATAAAAAATATATTATAAGTATAAGGGGAAAAGGGGATTGTTCGTAATGTGGACATATATTACTAACGGTGCCCGCGGTTTCACCCCCAATTACAATATATAAATTTAAATTGACGACCTCGGTGGTCTAGCGGTCTGGCACACCGCTTTACGTCCGATGGTCGCGGGTTCGATTCCTCGCACGGCACAAACATTTGTATTCATGAGTATGATTGTTTGTATCGGTCTGGGTATTTTCTATGTATAATATGTATGTATTTACGAAAAAAAATTATCTTTGTATTTGTATCAGTTATCTAGGACCCATAACACAAGCTTTAGCTAGCTTAACTTGGGTCTAGATGGCGCTGTGTGAATTGACCAAAAAAAAAAAATAAAAAAAAATAGCCTATATGTACAAACATCCATACTCACAAACTTTCGCTTTTGTAATATTAATAGGATATAAATATATTATATATTGCAGCATTGCAACGTATCGTATCGGGTTGGGAGGCGCAGCCAGGGCAGCACCCTCATCACGTGTCGCTGCGGCAGGTGAACGCCAACGGAGGCGTCAGCGCCTGCGGGGGCTCCCTCGTGCACAGCGAGTGGGTCATATCGGCAGCGCACTGCACTGCACTGTAAGTTTTTATTTTAACTTAGTTTAGTAACAGTTATTCTGGCCACACATATTCGATAAAAGTCTGACTTGACGTTCATGCTGATTGGCTCATTTTGGTTTTGCTCAGTTTGGATTGGTTGGTACGTCCCGCCCACTAGGAAATGCGCCAATCAAACCGCGTCGAACGCACAGTTCGTTCGGACTGAACCTAATAATGTGAGCTTAGTCTTATATTGCTATATATTATATACTAGCTAGTTCTCGCGACTTCGTCCGCGTGGAATATAAGTATATTTTTCTAAAATAAACGTAGCTTAAGTTACTCCTTATTACATCAGCTACCTGCCAAAAAAAGTCCCGTCAAAATCGGTCCAGCCATTTTAGAGATTAGCCGGAACAAACAGACAGACAGACAGACAAAAATTGTAAAAAATTATATTTTGGTGTATGTACCGCATTTATATTCATATGCATGTAGTAACAGTTACTTCAATATTACAAACAGACACTCCAATTTTATTTATATGTATAGATATTGTAGGTCCATTACAGACTGATTTGCAGAGTGCTTTCGAGATGAGAAGAACTGACAAGAAACTCAGGTCGTATTCTGTTCAAATACATGATTACAATAATACAGATTCATTTCTAAATTGAAATTTGGGAGAATAGACTGACCACCAGCATATGCTATTGCAAAAGCAAACAGTCTAATCAGTGTTCGTAGTCCCCACAAGCGGCACCCGTTCACGGGTATGACGGAAGATTTATTTAGCTGTGCTTGCGGCCTGCCGTATAATAGACGACAAATGACGAATTTACCTGCAAACTTTCATCTCCTATTTCTTTTTACCTATCCCTTTATCATTTGTTAATGTGTTATCCTAAAGGGTAATTTTTTTACAAACTTTGAATGTCATATTTATTTATATTTAAATAACAGCCAGAAAAACAAGTATCTAGCTTCTAAATTAAAAAAAAAACACGTTACTTCCATCCAACCGCTCGTCTTCCTTCCTTTTAACACCTGACAAACCTTTTTTCGCATTAAAAAGTAGCCTGTCTATAAGTAACTTAGGCTACTTCTATTTTAGAAAAATAGTTTTATTTAAGAAAAATAAAGTTAAATTCCACGCGTACGAAGTCGCGGGAACAGCTAGTACATTAATAAGTTTATTGGATAGTGTGCTACATGGCTTATTCGACGCGCAGTCGGAACGTGACTGATTTTACACTGAACTTAAATCTATGTTATCTGGAGGAATAATGGAAGGGTCTCAAGTGTTGACAGAAATATTAAAATGTAGGCACAGGTTAATAAAAATAATATTTATAGATATTACTATCTTATTATTAGATAGTATTATATTATATTATCTTATGTATAGTAGATTAATAGCTTATTCATAAACTTCTATCAACTGATATCTTATGTTGGACCCCCAATAACTGATAAGGGTCGCGGCTGTCGTATAACTAAATGTTATTTATGTCTTTTTATCTGTTTCGCCAAAGATGTTGATATCTAGCGCGGTGCACGGACGAGAGAAAAAATTAGTTCAAGAAGGAGACATCTTAAAGGACCCCAATTTACCTCCACTACAATGGCGTGTAGGACGAGTTAGTCGTCTTTATCCCGGCTCGGATGGCGTTACAAATGAGCTTGAAGAAGTCGGTAGAAGACAAACTTTCGCAACTGCTCGACGCAGGGGTCTAAATTGGGGTCCTTTAAGACAACCATGTCTCCTTCTTGAAGAACTAGTTCACACTGCATGTGTGTCGCCCCCTCCGCCCCGCTCTGCCGTCTATACGGCGTGAACACGTATATCAGCTATAACTGTTTTGTCCTTTTCTATTAAGCGGTTTTCTTCATTTGCGAGAAAGAGACAAGACTATAGATTTGTATTTATAAGTATTTTGTCTGTATCCAGATTTATTTACTTCCTATATATATAAACATGTATAAAAAATAACGAAATATAAATCATAAGATAATATATTAAAAGAAGGTAGTTTGTTTTTAGTACTAATGAAGTACCCAATGTAAAGATTATTACAAATATTGTAAATAGCGCCATCTAGTATTTATAGACCAACCTACTACACTCACTTTGGTCTATAAATACGGAGGTCGGTAGTTTAATAATCCTCTTTCGTTGCGTGAGCCGCGGCATTCAGTCGACCAGCGCAGTGTGCCAGTTGTGTTTTGGATACAAAAGTGAATTGTATTAGAAATGGGTTTATCCCGGTCTTAGTTGGGCCTGGGGGGAAGCTGCAAGTAGTGATGGTGAGTGTTAATGCATTCTAAAAGGGCCTTTTAAACCTACACCCGTGTCACAAGTAACGGGCGCTACTTGGGGTTTCCCTTGCGGTAGCCGGCTTCAAAGCCCCAGTCGTCCATCATAATTAGTGCTTCTTACACTCAGGCACATGAATATTTGATATTTATAATTTTCGTTTATGGACCAATGTAAAAAACTACTTTACATATATGGCAAGTCATAATATACAGTTATGATATATGTATCGTGCGAGGAATCAAACCAAATGACCATCGAAAATAAGGCGCCGTTCAAAACCGCTGAACCACCGTGGTCGTAAATTATCAAATACTAGCTACTCACTCCGGCTTCGCCCGGGTGTACATATATTAGAATAGAAAATCATTTATTCAAATAAACTTACATTGAAGCACTTTTGAATAGTCATAACTTTTTTTTTTAATCTACCGCTCATTCGGAATGCTGTCTCATCACAAGAAGAACAAGCAAGAAACTTGTGTGTTGCTCTTTTAAATAATTTATTCTTTCTTACAATTTAAGTTTATTATATATATAAACCTTCCTCTAGAATCACTATTAAAAAAACCGCTTCAAAATCCGTTGCGTAGTTTTAAAGATTTAAGCATACATAGGGACAGACAGCGACAGCGACTTTGTTTTAGACTATGTAATGATATTCACTATTCCTCAGTCAGGTGACGCTGGTCATTCGTGCCGGCGTCGTGGCGCTGTCTACTCCGCCCTACATCTACGAAACTACGGAGTGGTACAACCATCCCACGTTCAACGACCAGAACCCTATGCTGGTACAACCCAACGATATAGCGCTGATCAAACTGCAGAAGCCTGTCACCTTCTCCAGTAAGTCCAATCCAAAGCACATTCATTTCTTTTGACGACCTTGTGGTCTAGCAGTCTAGTACACCGCTTTACGTCTGATAGTCGCGGGCTCGATTTCTCGCACGGCGCAAACATTTGTACTCATGAGTATGATTGTTTGTATCGGTCTGGGTGTTTTCTATGTATTTGTATCAGTTATCTAGTACCCATAACATGTTATCTAGTACCCACATATCTAGTACACAAGCTTCCGCTAGCTTACCTTGGGTCTAGATGGCGCTGTGTAAATTGTCCTGAGATTATTATTATATTATTATTTATTAATGAGGCCCTGGTCCCCACCAACGCGTGCCACCAAGGTGGGCAGCATCCACCTTCGTGAAGGAGGACTACTGGCCGAAAGGAGCGGTATATCGGCGCTACCATCGTCAGTGCCGTGACCACACAGACAATGTCAATATATCAATATATAAAAATTAAATTATATGTATTTTAGACTATAAGGTATTTATAATATGGGCCTAGTTGCCTGAAATAAATGAATAAATGTATACTCTATACATATAAATAAAATTGGAGTGTCTGTAATATTGAAATAACCTTTTTTTACTACATGCATATTAATATAAATACGGTACATACACCAAAATAACATTTTTTACAATTTTTGTCTGTCTGTCTATCGGTCTGTTTGTTCCGGCTAATCTCTGAAATGGCTGAACCGATTTTGACGGGACTTTTTTTGCGAGGTGTAATAACAGTAACTTAGGCTACTTTTATTTTAGAAAATGAAAGTTATTCCACGCGGACGAAGTCGCGGAACAGCTAGTTACATAATAAGTTTTGTTCCCTCAGACCGAATTCAACCAATCCGCGTGCAGAGCAACACGGAGGCGTTCAGAGACTACGACACCGAGATCGTGCAGGCCAGTGGACATGGCAGGCTGTGGACTGATGGTAGATATACATATTACACTATAATTAGTAAAAATCACGGGATCTTACCACGTTTTATATTTATTTGCTGAGTTCCCGATATTTCGGTAGTGTTTCAACCACCATGATCACGGGTAAACTGAAGAGCAGCGGGTAGATGGAAAATGAAATCTTTTTATGGGCAGACATATGCGTCTACCTTCACACGTCTTCGTTTGTTGCTACTACTGGAACTCGCTCGACATTCATCTCAGCAAACTGTACTCACAGTATTTTTACGTACATTTAATACACTTTTTGATCGCGTTTTTTGTTTTTGTTTAATTAAACCAATCACTGGATTCCAGGCATTAGAGAGCCTATAGCCGTCTTCTCGATTGAAATTTTTATATTTCTGTATTTCAATGACCTCTCTAACCATTCTTGGGATATAATGCCGTTCTGATGTTAATACTTTTGGTTGGTGTAGTTCAGTATATATTACACTATATATATAAGGACTGGTCTGTTCGGGTTGTGAACACTGATTAGAACTATTTGCTTTTGACAAAATTGCAATATATGATGGTGATGATACTGGTGGGTACTCTATTCTCCCAAATTTGAATTTAAAAATGAATCTGTATTATTGTAGACATGTACATATCTGAATATATCAAGTCAGGTCAGGTTCAGGTCGCTGAAGAGTCAACACTAGTCTTGCAAGCTATATTCGAACTTAACACCCTCATTTCTTTTTGCACACAGTATCCGGAACACTGTGTATTCAAAAGTATACACATCTTTCTACTTAGTAAACGCGCCGTGTATCCTTTAGGAAAACACTTTCTATACATTTGTTACACAAAAATGAAAGCCCATAAAAATCCAAGAAAAAGGAGTGAAACGGGGAGAGGTGAATAACAATATGCAACTATTATGTAGTTTTAAACACTTCTGAATAAAAAAATATCACTGAGGGTCTGGCTCTGAGGGTGTTAAATAGTGTAATAGTATGTAATATTATATTATCTGTGGTAATAGACTTGTGTAATACAATAATATAAAATATGTACTTACTCTTATTTTATTTATTTATTGCAATTTACACATTTGCTGGAGACATAGTCGAGTGCGAGGTTTGAGAAAAGTGGCGGAAAAAACAAGGAAATCTGACCCCACCACCATGTGGGATACATAGCTAGGAAGAGAGAGAGATTGCAATTCACACACAATATTTTTACAAAGAATAGCTAAGTGTATTATTTTATTAAGTACTAGCTACTCGCCCCGGCTTCCCACAGGTGTGCATGTATTATTCATATAAACCTTCCTCTTGAATCATTCTATCTATTTAAAAAAACCGCTTCACAATCTGTTGCGTAGTTTTAAAGATTTAAGCATATAGCGACAGGCAGATTGCGACAGCGACTTTGTTTTATACTATGTATCTAGTGATTATCTAAAACAAATCGTAATTTCAGGCAACTCTCCCGAGGTATTGAATTGGGTGTACCTGCGTGCTGTCTCCAACAGTCGTTGCCACCAGCTCTTCGGCAGTACGGTCATCAACGACAACTCCATCTGCGCTGGTCCCTATAATGTTACCTCACAGTCTACTTGCCAGGTGAGCACTCTCCTTGTACCCTCGCCATGTACAAACAGTAATTTAAACTTGTGTTATAGGTATTAGACAAATTATATAAATATAAAAATACATTTTTTGTAAAGACGTACATAATGTACATAGAAAAAATCAGATCGATACAATCGTACTCTTGAATACAAATGTTTGTGCCTTAGTAAAGCAGCAGAGTATTTATTATCTTATTTATACTCTGTTCAGTAAGCACCAACGGCGGATCCAGGGGAGATCATGGGGGTCTTGCCCCCCCCCCCCCCATTGAACTGAAATTAAAGATTGGAACTACTATGATGAAGACGTTCGCTTAAATAGAATTTTAATAAATTCCCCATGGGAATAAAATAAGGGATGATGCAGGATGTAAATGTATTAGTTTGAACCTATCATTACCTAATGGAACGAATAAATTAAGACGAACAAAATAATTTTTAGTTCTTTAGGCTACTTTTATTTTAGAAAAATAAAGTTAAATTCCACGCGGACGAAGTCGCGGGAACAGCTAGTGACTTATAAGTGACTTAGCACTGCAAGTACTAAAATGAATCTATTTTCTTTACTATTTTGCATGTTTTTTTTATCTTTGTTTCTATATATATATTGTAATACAGGGAGACAGTGGTGGTCCACTGGTGCATATCTCCAGCGACGGAGTACCAGTTCTGGTCGGCGTGGCATCCTTCGTGGCTGGAGGAGCTCACGGCTGTCACTCAGGCATACCCGCTGGTATACATATAATACTAACTGTTTATCCTCGACTTTGTCTGGTTTTAAAGATAAATTATCTCATTAATAGTATAAACACGAAAGTGTGTGAGTATGGATGGATGTCTGTTATTCTTTCACACTAAAACTACTGAACAGGTTTTGATGAAACTTTACAGTAATATAGCTTATACGTCAGAATAACTTATAGGCTGTAAATTTTACTCGGATGAAACTGCAGGCGCAGTTAGTACATCATATATGTCCTCATAGAATAGAATAGAATAGAAAATCATTTACTTCATGAAACAAAGAATAAGTAAATCCAAGGTTTATAGTAGTTTCAAATAGATCAGTGATTGGAAGGTTAAAAAAAATTACAAATAAGTAAGATTACTTATTTGTATTTTTTTTAACCTTTACTTGGTTTATATTGGGGGCCGTCCTTTAATCACGTGATGCTTTTTAGCATTTATAATAATTAAAAATACATTATTAATTCCGACCAGCAACTTCTTGGTAATTTTTTTAGTTAAGAAATTTTATTAAATCTATAGATACAGGTATGATCCCATTGCAATGTACTATGGTAGATTGACCTCGACGCGGTTCCCCTGGAAATTGAGGTGATAAATTCCTGAAATTTATCAAATTCTTGAAATTGTTACGATAGCAGTTAGCTCATCGTAATAAATTCAATATTCTTCGTATAAGAGAATTCGTTATGTTCAACTTATGATCTACCACTGGTGCGCCGCCAGCGTAAATCTTAAGCGCAGGCGGATGCACTATTCCATTATCATCCATTGATTTATATTATACTCGCTGTACCCTCGGTTTCACTCGCATTAAATTTCAATATAAAACATAGCCTATGTGTTATTCTGGTGCATAAGCTCCATTACTATAAAGTTACATAAAAATCCGTTCAGTAGTTTTTGCGTGAAAGAGTAACAAACAGCCATACTCATTCAACTTTCGCGTTTATATTATTAAGATTATTGTTTCATATACATGTAACTCTCTAAGGTATTTATAATATGGGCCATTAATTGCCTGAATTAAATAAATAAAAAAACGTTCATATCACCAGGTTTCGTGCGGCCGGGTCCCTTCTTGGGATGGTTTGAAGAAGTCTCCGGTATCGACTTTGACAATATTGACGAAGAAGAGGTAACCACTTGGGCCCCCGAGGAGACCGAGCCCCCCACAACGACACCAGAACCAGAAGTATCCACCGAAGCACCGGACTCCGAAGAGGAAGAAAGCGATGAGGATAGCTCAGAATCAGATGAAGGTGACCCTGAACTGTCTCAGCTTCTCAAGAAGTTGCAGGTGCAGGTCAAAGTTAATGTAAAACTGAATAAATACGGCATCAAACATGAGCATAATCATAACAAAACTATAACACACCATAAATAACATATCATAGTAACAATAAATGTTCTGGATTGCTAAGATTCAGATCTCCGATTTAGTTTCGGTTCAATTCATTCATTCATTTTTATAAGTATTGAGCTACTAATATAATTGGTTTATTCAGATGTTTTGTTTTATTTTATACCTCTAATAGAATATCAAATAGTAAGTAAATGGGTACCTACCATTTTATAGACGATGAATATAGGCTATGTTTTATATTGAATTTAATGCGAGTGAAACCGAGGGTACAGCTAGTATAATATAAATCAATGGATGATAATGGATACTGAAGATTACGTTGTAGTAGTACGTGAATGCTAACAAGTTCCTATGAATAACGAAAGAATGAAAATAAAATTAGTCGAACCAATATTTTTTTCAAGAATCACTGCTAGGAGATTGTTTTCGGATATTATTTAAATCGTAGACGTAGACGTAGATAATTGTAAAGTTCTTTGCTGCCAAACAACTCGATTTGTACGTTGTTTGGATTTTTATATTTGTTATTGTCCAATTTTATTAGTTTGTAGTCTTGTTAAGTTATTGTCCATTTTTATGTTTAGTTTGTTAGCCTACTAAGAAACTAAACAAAAATTGACAATAACTGTACAAAATCAGGGCAAGGCAGTAAAAACTGCCTTCCTAGTATAATCCTTGTTTATACGCGGTACGCACCGCACTAAACCCACTTTCATTAAGAGGCCTTTCACATTTTTTGGCCTAAAAGCAGGGTCTTTGGGGTTCTGGTTCTAAGAAATTAAGAGTCGGATATACATTTTGATTCTTGAATTATATAGATAGATATCTAATTATAAATTACTAAATTAAAAACAACATCTTTGAAATGTTAATTTTCTCTTTGTTAGTCTTCCTAATTTCTAAAATAGTTTACTCAAAAACGCTAAGAGACAAAAGTTTGGGGTCGTCGTTCATTAATAAACAAACATAAATTGATATGATATCTTTACTAAAACTTGATAATTACTTTATAAATTGAGACAGCATCGTCCTTTTTTTCATTTTCAACTTAAATATCTAAAAAATTGATCATAAATAAACCCGAAATTTCAACAAAACTTTGCCATAATCATTTCTAATTTTCTCATAAATACAACGAAATTTTTGCATAAAAAAAACATTATAATAAAGTTAATATACTTGTAAATTAGAAATATAAAAAAAAAATATAAGTGTCTAAGAAAAAAATAAACAATAATTATAATTTAAAGTTGTATAAATTCCGTTGCGCCAAAAGTAAATTCTCAGTGCTGCACTAGCGCTCGTCGAGGTAGAACCTATGGTATTTTTTACGACACCGCTACGATAAGACATTCGTAAACATTTGCCAGTGAACATTAGTATAGTGCGACTAAACAATTTTGATAATTTAAGTAATATTTAATTAATTTTGCTAATATATACTTATTTCTACGAATATTAATTTAAAGTTATTGTTAAATATATATATATATAATATTTATTTTAGCGTGCCAAGACAAAAGTACAGTTATGCTACAAATAAAACCTACCTACCCTGCTGCACTACGAAAAGCACAAGAGCATGGTATTTTGTCACACTAATGGCAATTAATTGTTAAAATTAAAAAAGAGAACATTTTAGTATTTTTAAAAATAACGCTTATCTGAGAGAAAAATGTAAGAAAATGTAAACCAATTTTACTTTATGTTTATTTTGTAGTTTTTTTCTAAATTAAAATAGGGTTATTGTTTATAAAAATACCATTATTATTTTTACGTACATTTGTCTTGTGTTATATCATCTAGTATGCAATGTGGATTGTAAATAAATTATCAAATTATATATAAATTATATTCCTTAATGTTTAGAGATGTTTTATCCAATTTACTTTATTTTATTTTACACAATACAGATAATTCTAAATTGCAGCCATTCTGTTATTATACTCGTTGGACTTTCATTACTGTACAGTTATGTCAAATAATTATGCGTGTTTGGGTGAAAAGTCGACAACATTATAAATGTTTTTATTTAGAGACTAGCTTTTAGCTCGCGGCTTCGCCCGCGTGAATATGGGATATATAGGTTATCGCGCGTTTAAAGATCCGTATACAGTATTGGGACGTTATATATAAACCTATCTAGTCTATTAAATAACAACGAATCAAAATCTGCGTAGTTTTTTAAGATAAAAACATAGATCTATTACATGTGTAGATGATATTTTAACCGGAAATTGAAGCCGTTAAAATGGTATTGGCAGATCAGTTGGAATCATTGGTATTCTTGGTATATAAGCTGGTTGCCCAGCTAACGTACCGGTTATAATGGTCTACAATTAAATTGTCTTTCAATTCTTTAGTAAGCAACATATCCAATGGGACGCCATTGCACATCTTCGGCGGGCTTAAATTTCATGACTGGATCATGCTTTTGAGAAATTCTTTCCTCAAGTTTGAGCAGTTAGTGTGGGAAATCACTATCTGTGCTTCCATAAAAATAAGCTCTCAAATTTGTCAGTAGTTTTAAACTTTCAATTAAAGTCCATAAGGGAGACGATGTTAATGACACAGAGTCTTTCAGAAATCTCCAGCAAAAGTATAAAAGTAATCCCGCCAATGAGAGCAGAGGTGTTTCTAAGGTCTTTTAAGGTTCTGTCCAAAATCTCTATAGCTCATGGTGATTTCATTACATATAATCAATGAGGCGTCTTGTAATAATTTATAAAAAGGTTTGATATTAACAAGTAATTATTTATCAAGAATCAAGAATCGGCCAACCAAGAATGAGAAGCTGCAATATCAGCCAATATTATGCGGCGACGTCAATGATGCAGGAACAGCAATGATAGCAGTTGAAGCTTTTTTTTTACAACTTAGAATGGCAAACAAGCTGACGGCTCTCCTGATGGAAAGGGGTAACCGTCGCCTATATACATGAGCAGTACCTGACATGTTCATATCAGCATATTGTTTCCCTCATGCGTTGCCATTCCTGAAAACTCGGGTGTTATTCCCCTGTACCCTGTAAATTCACTACCATATATATACACAGGTAGTCTATATAGATAGATATACATATACACAGATAGTATACCCTGAGAAAGGTCATAGACTACTTTATAGTGCGAAAAAAGTATTGTAAGGGATTAAAAGCGGAGATGAAAGGTTGTATAAAAATATCGTCATTGTTTAAGTGAAACAAGGAAACTTTTTTAGGTTATAATCTAAATATATTTCCTTTATTTGGTCAATTTCATTATACCACGCTGGCGAAGTCGCGGACACACCTAATATACATATAAGGATGGGACCTTTAAATTAAAACAAAGCCTTGAAAACACAACTATTATATATAAATAAAATAATTATTTGCTAAGTATAATATTTAGAACAAGTGAATATGGCAATAATGTATCCGACTCTTATAATAAATTATATTGTATCTATTAATAAATAAACTGAATTAATATGTAAGAAAAGTTAATTAGTAAATTTATGTTATAGTAATTTCATCTTCCTGTCCTTATCCCAATTATTTGTTACTCATATTACTTAAGGTTTTGGCTTTTAGTTGTACAATCGGCCAGCATCCTGACATCAACCCTCTAGGAATAATATAATAAAAAAATATGGTCATTATTAGCACTTTGATAATTAAGATAAATCACGTTATTTAAAAAAATCCAATAACTGGTTTATGTTACTCAGTTAAGTAGAAACATAACACATTATTAATTAAAATATTACAAGGATCAAAATGGTTCATACTAAATCCACACCGATTGCGCTACACGGTTATTTGCGTCTGTGTGCGTGTATTACTGTGTGTGTGCGTAAATCCATGCGATTAAACCTAAAGTTGAGCGGCATCATTTTGTAATAGGCCTCTTAAAGCGCAAAATTAACATTTTAATATCCATATATTATTATAAAACACGGGCATTACCCTAAAGGTTTATAGGCTTCGAATCTGAACGTAGTAGCACAGATAACATAATATTACATATAGTTGTTTACAATTTAAGTTAATGTGCTATCGTCGTAGTCTCTTATTGTATTAATTTACTGGTAAAGGCTATAGCAGAGAGGGTGGACTCACTGCCCCCACTGAATTATAGACCCTTTTGTCTACTTCATTACTTTTAAATTTTATAATTGTATGTGCAACAACTGTATTAGTTTTTGTTTGTGACAAATAAAGCTGATTATTATTATTATTGTTAAATAAGCAAATAATACCGCATGACGGGTGCCACAGGCGTCTTTTTAAGACATAATGGTTGTGGTACTGACCATGGCGACAGATGCAACTACCGTTATTTTCCAATCTAGTTCTCTTAAAAAAGTCTAGTATTATGTGCTAAAACACTTGTTTCCGAGCCTAAAACTTGTTCGTAAAAAATAAACTGTCAATGTCAATCAAGAGTGTCAAACTACAACTGATGTCACACCAATTGTCATTTGTCATACATTCGCCAAAAGTTATTGCATACATCGTATTATTTTATTTTTTCTCATTTTTCTTTGATAAATGTTTAATTTTGAAATGAAATGGAGGGATCACACAATAAAGGTAATTCTATATATTCTGTTTAATTGTTTAATTACTTTTAATACTAGATATTTAGTCATAATTTGGTAGTTCTTGTTAACATAGATTGTGTGGGCGAAGCTTGTATCGCTTTTGAATTATCTTTTGTTTGCCTCAGCCTCGCCTTTATATGCCAAATTTGATAAGTTTTCAACCTATTGCGAAAGTTTTACTTATATGCAATATTACAGATATTCATATTTATTCATGAACGTAATGCTGCAGCTTGTACAAGGATTGTGAACAATATTTTTTATGATTATTATTTATGTGGTTTACTTCCGCATTTAGTTATAAACTATCGACAAGGCGATCTAAGTATTTGATAGACTTGAAGGATTTTACCTGTTACTCTATAAATACCTACTTTTATATATTTAGCATAAGGCCTGATATCAAAACTATTTCCTTTCCCTTTGAATATCAATTCCTATATTAGAATAACTATTCCTTATTTTCTTATCACTTTTATATTATTCAGAGTTAGAATTAGAAAGAATATTATTCTTTTCCACTAGGTAGAATATAATATTATGAATTACTTTTTATCATATATATTTTATTAATATATTATTACATATTTTTTACCTAATAAATAGTTGTTTTTAGTTTTACATTCAAGTTATTTTAAAATTGAATTATTATGAATCATATTATTTTTCAATATATTTAATTTCAATATAATTATATAAATATATAAGTAATTTACTAATTTGTAAATTAAAAATAATTGTATACTAATTATAATTTTAATTATTAAGAGATGTAATATGAAAAATTTTAAATTACTTTAAATATTTGGTAATAGACTCTATAGATAATATGTTTGCTCTGAATCGATTATAGAGTCCCTCAATTGTGCTGGATGTCTGAATGATATCGGAGATGATGACTATGTGTCTGCTTTGGGACAAGACTGGCATAAAGACTGCTTCAGGTAAGCTTTTTCTGTCTTAATATTATAAAGAATGAGTAATAGAATATTAGCAAAATAAGCTTTGGTACCCTGTAAGCACTGCACCGAAAGGTACATTGCTTCAACAGGTTTTAAGTTAAAAAGATGTGACTGCTATTTTGAACAATATGTAAAAAAGTGTTAAAATCAATATTGTTGTATAACAATAATTTTGTGTGTATTTTATTGTCACCCTCAATATAACTTATTATCAAAAAACTCAAATATGTAGGGTACTTAAATACAATCATTTCATGTAAGCCTCAATACAAGCATTCATATTAAAAAACATTATTCTAAAATATAAATGAGTTATAATCCATAATAAATATAAACACAAAATTTGTTTTTGCATGTAAGTTTATTACAGACTTATGATGTCAAATCTACCGTCAGTTCAGACTGCTTTCGGGATAAGATGAACTGACTAGAAACTCAGTTCTCATTTCAAATGTCAAATCTACTGTCAGTTCGGAATTCTTTAAAGCTAAGAGGAGCTAACAAGAAACTCAGCTCCTATTCTTTTCAACTGACCTTTACATGATTATGAAAATACAGACATGTTCAAATTCATTAGAAAATACAGATAAATATTTAAAATCTTTGGTAAATTGTAATTTGTTTTACTTACAGGTGCTCAGTGTGTGATGCACTATTGTCGACGTGGTACTTTGAGAAGGCGGGACTATTGTTCTGTCAGAATGACTACTGGATACGCTACGGTGAAAATTGCCAGCAATGTACACAGGTGCATACTAGCCTAGTAATGATTATACCTAGGTTTCTATAACATCATCTGAATCCTTGACTGACTGCTCAGCTATTAGAAAAACATTACCCAAAGCGAGTAAAAAGAAGCAATATTGGGTAATGTTTTACAGTATTCTTAAGGAGCAGAGCCTCCCGCTGGGTTGGACAGTACATTCTTAGTTTCCACACACCCAAAAGGTTGGCTCATGGGACTGATTGCAGATAAGAAAAATGAAAAAAAACTACCCCCGTCTCACCTATTTCAGCTGACAAGCTGCTTGCTTTGAAAGCTGTTTTGGTAAAAGAGTGAGATATAACAGTAAAATCACAGGATATGGTGTCCTCTGGAATCTTAATGAGGTTTATCATATCCATCAAATGATGATATAATGTCTGTTATGCTATATAAATATCTATACATATAAATCAAATTGGAGTGTCTGTTTGTGATATAGAAATAACGTTATAGTTATATAGTTAAATTCCATGCGGACGAAGTCGCGGGTACAGTTAGTAGTTAATATAACGGATATAATGTAAGTACAATAAATAAATTAGAATTATGTCATCATCTGCTTCTTCCTTTTCCCATTTATTTGTGGTCGTCGTAATATGTTTTTCTCTTCCATTCATCCCTGTTCGCAGTCATCGCGTTATTTACATCCTTTCTTACCATGTCATCTTTCACACAGTCCATCCATCTCTTTTTCGGCATTCCTCTGCCCTTATAACCATCCACATTCATATGTAACACCTTCCTTAAAATATCTTCATTCCTACGCATTACATGTCCATACCACGGTAGAGATAGATAAATTAGAATTATATAATATACATAAATTTATTTAAATGTATATTTAGCATAATTCCCGCTTTTGATGTATATAATATCTCATATATGTGTATATCTCACATTTGGTGTGAATTTATAATATCTCATATATGTGTATATCTCTCATTTGGTGTGGATGAGTGAATGAACGAATAAAAACTCTATATTGTTCCTCTCACAGAAAGATATAACAACTACATAAATTAATATGTACATCAAATAGAATAGCATAGAATAGAAAATCATTTATTCAAATAAACTTACATTGAAGCACTTTTGAATAGTCATCACATTTTTTTAATCTCAAATACAAAAAGAAAAACAACAATTATAATTTAGAGGTAACAATGGGCGGCCTTATTGTTAAATAGCGATTTCTTCCTGGCAACCTTAGGATGGAGAGCAGTGATTAGACTGGTTTTGGTCGAGGTATAAAGTTATTGGATATACAATTTACATGTCATATACACATACATAATTATCATAACTACTGAACTACATCATAACTACATAATAATCATTATATACAAAATATACATACATACAGCTATACATACATATAAATAAATAAAATTATAATATCGATACAATAGCAACGTTACTGTGAATATAAATTTCGTAAATAATATTTGTTTACACTCAATGGGTGTTATGGTCGGCAGGTGATGACCGGCCCGGTGATGTCCGCCGGGGAACACCGTTTCCATCCGGAGTGCTTCGCGTGTGGCCGTTGCGGCGCCCACATCGAAGACGGCGAGCCGTATGCACTACTCGACCGCACACACCTTTACTGGTCAGTATGGCGTACCGTCATTATTTTCATAATTTAATTAAAATACATTTTTTTTTCTATTATATAAATAACAATACCCCTGGACAATTCGCGTAACGTCTCAAGTTAAACAGAGCTTGTATCAGTTGTCTACCCATAGTAGTAGACAACTGATATAAATACTTAGATTTTTTTTTTGTACATACATAGAAAACACCCAGATCAACTCCCTCCGATCGATCCCCCATCCAGTTCAAGCGAGGAACGACTGATGTCCCCTACCGGCGAACTCAGAGGGCACCGCTAGGGATTTGAACCTCGGCTTAAGTCGCCGTAATTTCGATATCCGTTTGAATTGCACGGGGAATCGATCTCTGGGTGCTTTATATGTATCTACAAAAAATTTCTGATGTTAATGTGTATTTTGTGTGACAGTGGGGGCTGCTACGGAGAGGCCGGGAGCGGCGAGGAGGGCGGCGGCCCCGTGGGGGGTGCGGGGGGTGCGGGGGCGGCGGGGGCGCACTCCATCCGCGTGGTGGAGGTGCCGGCCGCCGCCCTCCGCCGCGCGCCCCTCGCGACCGCACTCGACACCACGCAGTCAGTATTTCTTTGTCTTTACTCTTTTACAAGATCTACACTAAAATACATATAAATTACGGTATTATGTATACTTACTAATATTAATATTTTTAGATATAAAAATTAAAACACTACTCGATTAGAACATGCATTGGAGAAAATGGTTTTTTTTTTGGATTACTCTAAGTAGCCGCAGTTGGCCTACAGCTTCACCGGACTATAGGCGGCGAGTGCAGATGGCACTCAAAACCCGCAGAAAGACTTATAGAGCGGCTGACGGCCAACTCATGCCTGACGGATACGATTTATTACATTGTTTTTTACGGAATACACAAATGCTGTTTGCCGCAGCTAGCCTACAGCATCACCGGACTATAGGGGACGAGTGCAGAAGGTACTCGAAACCGATCGATACAAATAAAAGTATTTTAGAATACATCAAAACAGAAAGCTAAAACGTAGCGCGTTCCAGAATCGTGCAGCGCCATCTATTGTAAAAAATGTGAATTAATCACAATACTTTGTAGCAAATATAAATATAATAAAAAAAAATAATACAAACATACTATATCAGTTGTCCAGTACGCATAACACAACTCTGCCACAATATAATAATAATAAATGCCATTAGGTGTTAAGTCCGCCATATGTACTTTTTACCTGTGTATGACGTGCATTAAAGTTATTTAAATAAATAAAAATAAATAATCTCAGGACAATTCACACAGCGCCATCTAGACCCAAGTTAAGCTAGCTATAGCTTGTGTTGTGGATACTAGATAACTGATACAAATACATATTTTTTTTTCGTGAATACATACATATTATACATAGACCAATAATTTGACTGCATCGGTGGTCTAGCGGTTTAACACACCGCCTTCCTGTGGTCTCAGGTTCGATTCCTCGCACGTCACAAACATTTGTATTCATGAGTATGATAGTATCGGTCTGGGTATTTACTATGTATAATATATATGTATTTACAAATAAAAAGTATTTATGTATTCACATCAGTTGGTTAGTATCCATAACACATTCTATAACTTTTTTTATCTATAAGTTCAAATAAATAATAATTTTAAAATAAAAATTTATTATCCTTGTATTCATATAACTTTACAACATTACTTTCCAATGCAGTTTTCCTTGTAATGTACATTTCTATAATTTTTTTATAGACATTTCTTAATATGTACATATATATATTACGACATTACTTTCCAAGCCAGTTTCCTTATAACGTGTATTTCAAAGAGAAAATCGTTTAATACGTATAATATTAGGTAATATTACACGTTTGTTTGTATGTTTGTAACACTTTATTGTATAGTAAATACATTTAAATTAACTAAAATTACAATGAGCTTAAAAAAAAGTTGTATAATGGCGCGACTTATCCCAAAATACAATTACATAGAAACATACCCAAACACGTACTAATCCAAAAAACAATGAATAGTTTCATCGTTCTAGCTTCAAAAATGATGAATTCATCCCCTATTTTATATTTACAACCTCAGAATGATATATTAAATCAATAGCCTAATAAGTAAATTTCAAACTGATAGCTTTAAAATATACTATACTATACTAATTATTTTTATATTATATTGACATCCACAAAAATTGTTATATGGGGCCTGACCAAAATAGATTTACTTAAATCAATTTAAGTCAAACAAAAATGTAAGGCCGTTCAAGTATTACGTAATCAGATTTATTACAATTATTTAGTTCCCCCCCCCCCCCCCCCCCCCCCCCCCCCCAAAAAGTAGCGTATGTCTTGTCAGCAGAAGTAAGCAAAGCTCTTACCACCTCCGCCCATGCTTACATAAACATTTCTCAATTAATGTATTCTTTTGCAAAGACAACGTGATATTCATGTAAAAAAGAAAATACCTGCCGATGACGTAATCAACATCAAGACTCCCCCCTGCCCATGTCATCCAAAATAAGCAAAGAGGTGGCTTTGCTCGCTCGCCAAGCCCCCCCCCCCCTTTCCCTTATACTGCTTACGTATTACGTAATACTTGAACGGCCCCAATATAATAATAATGTACATATAATAATATATGTTTTTTTCTTGAACACGCACTGTGGTGAGTGATCGCCATGATCAGTGATAATGGTGATTCAGTTCTCAAAGAGTTTCCTGTCGTTTCATTCACTACAGAAACAAATTAGTAATTACAATATATATCATGGCTCATGATTAGATTCAAATTTAAAAAAACATTTATTCATGTAGGACATTTTAGCCACTTATGAACGTCAAATTTTTTACATTATAATTTTAATTTTTTCATACTGTTGTCATTTAATTCTCTAATGAGGGACAGCAACCCTTATCTACTGGGTGTTTTTCAAGAGTATAGGGTATAAGTAGAGTCAGAATCAGGGGAGGATCTACCAACGGGCTTTTTGGGCTGCAGCCCAGGGCCCCGCGGATACAAAGAGCCTGCAGCCTCCACTGAAAGGCACTAGGCAATATTTAGACTTAAAAATAATTTTAAATATTAAAAAACCTATCTTAAGAGATTGATTAACCCATGGATATGCGCGTCTATCGAAGGGCACGGAAAATTCCACGTTTTGTTTTTGGTCTCTGTATGTTTTAGTTGAGTAATATAATGAGGTAGGCCCCTAAGTACGTTTAGCACACGGCCCCACAAATTAACGATCCGCGCCTGATCAGAACCACTAATTATGATGACGACTTAGGCTTTCAGGGCCCCACGAATTAACGAACCGCCCCTGATCAGAACCACTAATTGTGATGACGACTTAGGCTTTCAGGGCACCACAAATTAACGAACCGCCCCTGGCCAGAACCACTAATTATGATGACGACTTAGGCTTTCAGGGCCCCACAAATTAACGAACCGCCCCTGATCAGAACCACTAATTGTGATGACGACTTAGGCTTTCAGGGCCCCACAAATTAACGTACCGCCCCTGGCCAGAACCACTAATTGTGATGACGACTTAGGCTTTCAGGGCACCACAAATTAACGAACCGCCTCTGATCAGAACCACTAATTATGATGACGATTTAGGCTTTCAAGGCACCACAAATTAACGATCCGCCCCTGGCCAGAACCACTAATTATGATGACGACTTAGGCTTTCAGGGCACCACAAATTAACGAACCGCCTCTGATCAGAACCACTAATTATGATGACGATTTAGGCTTTCAAGGCACCACAAATTAACGATCCGCCCCTGGCCAGAACCACTAATTATGATGACGACTTGAGCTTTCAGGGCCCCACAAATTAACGAACCGCCCCTGATCAGAACCACTAATTATGATGACGATTTAGGCTTTCAGGGCACCACAAATTAACGTACCGCCCTTGGCCAGAACCACTAATTATGATGACGACTTAGGCTTTCAGGGCACCACAAATTAACGTACCGCCCCTGGCCAGAACCACTAATTATGATGACCACTTAGGCTTTTGATGACGGTTACCGGAAGAGAAACCCCAAGTAGCGCCCGTGACTTGAGACACGGGTGTAGGTTTAAAAGGCCCTTTTAGAATGCATTAACGCTAACCTTCTTCACTACTTGCAGCTTCCCTCAGGCCCAACTAAATCTGGGATAAACGCGTCTCTAATACAATTTATTTTAGTATCCAAAATGTTCTGTGCACGTTCTGTGCTCGTCGACCGAATGATACGGCTTATAAAGACTCCCAGACTCCTCTCGCACAGATATGCGTGGAGGTTATACGAGACTACATTCTTTTCATATTTTTTAAAATATCGGATTTTCTACAATTTCGATGTAAACCCTAACAGTAGTAAGTATAAGGGTATATTGATTTATTTATTTACTAGCTGTATCCGCGACTTCATCCGCGTGGAATTTAAATTATATTTTCTAATATCTAAGGATGTTTCTAAAATAATATGATGCTATAGTAGTGTCTATTTATATTTAACAATTATATCCACATTTATTTATGTAATAATCCATAAAAATAATTACTGTAATAATATTAAAATCGACGTCATTGTCACAGATTGTCACATTTTGAAATCTTACTCCTGACAGCCTCGGTGAGATTGATCTCACCTATACCAACCAACTTTCTTCGTAACCTGTGTTTCGGTTGTAGGGAAGCGTTGGCTTCCAAATAAAGAAAGAATCATCAAAATCGGTTCACCCAGTCGAAAGTTCTGTATTAAAAAAATACAGTCGAATTGAGAACTACCTTTTTGGAAGTCGGTTAAAATGTGTCGTGTGCCGCAGCGGCCGCTGCGCCGGCAAGCTGTCGTGGCTGGCGCGCGCGATGCTGCGGGTGACGCTGTCGGCCTGCATACAGCTCACGTGCCATAGGTACTAACACCATGCTAACTGTAACTCGCTTACGCATGCTCTAACCTGCTCGTCACCTTTTTTTGGACTACTCTAATGCTGGCCGCAGCTGGCCTTTACAGCTTCACCGGACGATATGGGCGAGTGCAGATGGCACTCCAAACCAAAGGAAGGACTTATGGAGCGGCTGAAGGTCTCCCGCCTGATGGATACAACTTTAGTCTGACGTCGCTAGGGGTTCGAACCTCCACTCAAACCGTCGTATTTTCTATCCCAGTTTGATCATCACATTTTTCCCCCTACTCCAGTGTGTTGGCCTTTACGGCTTCACCGTACCATAGCAGGCGAGTACAGATGGCTCTCCAAACCGGTGTAAGGACTTATGGAGCGGCTGAAGGTCTCCCGCCTAATGGATACAACTTTAGTCTGACGTCGCTAGGGGTTCGAACCTCCACTCAAACCGTCGTATTTTCTATCCCAGTTTGATCATTACATTTATTCCCCCTACTCCAGTGTGTTGCAGCTGGCCTTTACGGCTTCACCGTACCATAGCAGGCGAGTACAGATGGCTCTCCAAACCGGTGTAAGGACTTATGGAGCGGCTGAAGATCTCCCGCCTGTTGGATACAACTTTAGTCTGACGCCGTTAGGGGTTCGACCGTCGGCTTAGGCCATCATAATTTCGATCCC